ATTGTTACAATTTCCTTTCCGATAATAGCAGAGTAACGTATTTAAAATCGATTTTATGCCAACAAAAATTTATTAATAAATTAGGAAAATATTTCTTATAAAAAGTACGAAAGTATTAATCTGATCTGTAAATCTGAATAAACAAATTAAAATTTGATGGATACTGGATATAAAATCTTGATTTTCCAATTAATTCTAGAAAGATTATTTTAATAGAAATTTAATGTAAAGTTAATTGAATATTGTTAATGAATATTTGTACCTAATGATAATTAAGTTATCATTAAGAAAAATTACACCAAAGAATTTTTGTCGGTCAAATGATGATTCATAGACACCCTATATATCAACGCGTGAAACGTTCGCAGTTATTACATGTAATAAGCTGATTCACCTGTGAAAGCCACGATATCCCACTTATGCGTTTAACGTGGTACATACGTCTATAAATAGAGCATGTGCCTCGCGAGAATATAGATACACCTATCCATCTCGGTGCAATATTATTTATTATTATCGCACTAGAGAAATATTTTCAATATTTCACTGTAAGAATATAGAATAATAATTACAAACAATTATTATTGATTAATCTGAAATGATTTTATTAGATTGTTTGAAAGAGAAAATGTCATTGCGATTTTGTTCCGAGTTATTCAAATTAAAAGCACAATTAATAAAAACTTAGTTGCAATTTAATAGAAATTGCGAAACTGAACAAACGAGTAAAAGATGATGTGTCAAAATAGGTATTTTTATTTTATGTTGGATCGCACAAAACTATTATTTTAGTATTCTAGATACACTGTTTGACATTCAATCATTACTATTGTAATGTAATTTTATTGTATATTTTGTATATGTATAATATATAATAATAAAGTTGTTATTATATAAATGTTATATATTAATAATATAATACATAATTTTAATATAGCATAACATATAATATTTTGTTATTGTATTGTCACTTCGACAAAAGATTTAACTTATTCGGTTGTTTCCAGAATGTTGATCACAAGATGAAATTCCGCTCCAAGAAGGGTCAGCTGCCGTTCGTCGAGCTGAACGGTGAGGAAATCGCAGACAGTACCATTATCCTGCGAGAGTTGAGTCAGAAATTTGGCAAGGACTTGGATGCCGGTCTCACGTCTGAACAACGAAGCGTCTCTCACGCCATGATATCCATGATCGAGAATCATCTAGTCTGGGTTGTCGCGTGCTGGCGCACGAAGAACTTGGATCAGGTGCTGAAGGGTTACAAGGTCAATCTGCAACTCGCTCTGGGATCACGTATCCCAAACGCTATTCTGAATTTCTTCTTCAAGCTCACGTTCGGACGCAAGGTAAGTTTCGCTTGCCGTTCGCCGTGATATCGGTGTGATTTCGATGTGACCTAGCATACAACTTGGACATTAGATAGAAATCACTTGAATGATAATTCCATGTTTCATGACTTCTCATTCAATTCTAATAATTTATTCGCATTCACGTTTTCATATAACTTATTTGCATATTTTCATAATTATATTCCACATTATTTTCATCATTATGTAAAAGTCATGCTGTATGCAAAAATAATCTTCCCTCGACCTTCTTTCATTGATTTTATCGAGACCGCACGATGTTTCGAATGTTCACGTTTCTCAATTTAGCTATGCATGTATCACTGACATTATGCTAGATTGCATTCATGTAAATACTGTAGTTTTGTCATTACATAATTTTTCCCAGTATAGCTAGTCTCATCAGCTATCATCTTAAAGCTCTCTTAGTTGAGTCCTGGTCGACGTTTTTTATCTAGATATTAATAATATGGAATATAACGATGACTATGAAATACAAATTTATTGAATCAAGATACAGATTCTAAAAATATTTATTGAAACCAGTACGATCTCCAAAATGTTATTCTTGTCCGAATTTTACTTCGACCAAGTTTCGCTACTTACACGTTATCACAATGTTTATTTTATGCTATCTCCAGAATCATTCATAGTATTCGCTCGGAGTGCACAAATTGCGCTTGTAGCTCTAAACGTGCTATGAATATGCTAGCTAGAGATAGTATCGCGATAAGGAAACGTAATTGTAGAACAAAATATTATGACCATTTGTAGTGAGATGGTAGTTGGATTGGTTGCAGGGTGCGAGGAAAGTGAAGGCTCAGGGAATGGGTGTGCACAGTCCGGAGGAAGTGTCCCAATTCGGGTGCACCGATCTTAAGGTGCTCTCGGACACGCTTGCTGACAAGCCCTTCTTCTTTGGGGACGAGCCAACTACCGTAAGTATCATCAAATCTGTTAACATGTTGCCTATAGCGGTCAAGAGTTCTTGAGTTATGCACCACTGTAGTACATTCTAACATGATATTTGGTCCGCTGTGTAAATAATAGCTTCAGTTACTTGTAATCTGATGCCGAAGATAATATCAGTGAAACCAGTGTTGCCCGCGGCGAAATGGCGTTCTCGCTGAGCGTCATGCGAAAAAGCTTTGTATTTTCAGTTATCTTAAGAGATATTGCACATCGAACTGAGCAAATAATTATAACACGATTATCGACTCGAACTTTGATTAGTTTTCAAGTTTCAATCGATTAAAAATTAATTAGTTTTAGTAAAGAGAACTTCAGGAAAGAACAAATAGGTAAAAATATATCACCCTTGATCTCTTAACTTATCTTAATATTACATTGATTCACAAAGATTCGCAAAAAATTATGTTCAACGTAAAAGATTGATAGAAAATATAGATTATGGGTTACAATTTTAGCAATCTGTATAATCCTTTGGCGATCTTTTGGGTTTGTACAGATGGACGTAGTTGCATTTGCGCATCTCGCTCAAATCCTGTACATCGACAAGGACACGCCGTACAGTCTACGAGATTACATGGTCGAGAACTGTCCCAATTTAGTCGGACATTGCTCGCGCGTTAAAGAACGATGTTTCCCGGATTGGGACGAGATATGCTCCAGCCTGGACATGAACACGCATCTGCCGAAACCCGAGAAACAGGAGGAGAAAGAGGGCAAGGAGGAGGCGAAGGAGTCTAAAGAATCCAAGGAGGAGAAAGAGGGTGACAAGGAAAAGGCAGACAAGGAGGAAAAGGAAGTCGAGAAGGACAAGGAAGTTGACGAGAACAAAGAAAAAGAGAAGGACGGCAAATAAGCGGTCTTTCATTGTAAAGAGAAATAATAAGTCGTTTCAAGGATTTAAAGGCGAAGAGTCACGAAGGTGTATTGGCGAATGAATAAAGATAGAAAGAGAGAGAGGGATAGTTGGCGGTAAGAGTGTGTGTATGTACGCGCGTGTGTGTGGTTGCATGAATGTGAACGATGATGGAGATGAGGACTGTAGAAAGCACGTATAGAATGATGATGAGGGAAGGGAGTTGCCGGAAGTGAGAGATTGTATGTTGAAGAGAAAGGGAGGAAGAAAGAGGGAGAGAAAGAGAGAGGGAAAGAAAATGAGTGAGTGTGCGTGTGTGTAAGAGAAAGCAAAAAGAAAGATAAGGTTTGGGACTAGAGCTCTCTACTTATACGTATAGATATTAATAGACTCGTGTATAATGTTAATAGTTCGTTTATATACGTTCAATGCGCATCACGCGTTACTTCACATTGACACACTCGAAACACACACGACCGGAACGATTATTCTCTAATCCACACGCCCTTTCTCTGCTCTGCTAAGGATAAACAAAAAACAAACAGGGCTATCTCATAAGTCATTAGAAATGTAGGATTGCAATATACGAACTGCAATAGTTTAACGCAGCTGGGGTCTTTGTCGACAGTGGCCAAATGCAATATAGCGTTACGCTATAAGATAGAAGTAATTACGGGAGAAGAGGAAGAGAAGAAGAAGCGAGGATAGGGTCGCGTGAACGGGCATACTGATTCCTGCCTTTTAAGGCGAAAATAAGCGTCTCCTACTTCGCTTCCCTCAACGATCCTTGCTGTGTATAAGTTACTTTGCGTCCTGGCGCAACGTAACGTAATCTTCTCTTTAATTTAGTTCACGTTAATTTCCTTTTTTTATGCTACGTTCACACGTGTATCGCGCGTTTTACTTTGCTTTTTATATCGTGTTAAATAAAGTTTCTAAAAAGATTTTGTACGAGATTTTTTATGACGCGTATCATTGAGAGATTTCTATCGGAAAATCATCTGAGGAAACACCGTTGCGTCTAGTAGCCGGTTCATCGACGCGATCTGAGATTTTTATTACGATAACGCTAATAATAACGCTAACGTAACGATAATGTTAATAAGAATGAAACAACAATAATATTAATAATCATAGTGATAGGAGAAAGGGAATCCGATGTCCTACGGAAACAAATGTTAGGTCATTGATTGACTGAATTACTTCTATCTCTCTCTATCTATCTCTCTCTCTCTCTCTCTCTCTCTCTCGCGCGCGCGCGCGCGCGCGTTCTTTTAACAATCGAATCGAGAGTCGAGTCACGCCAATTGACCAGTTAGCAACGGACGTCCTCAGACAGCCTAATGTGGAATGCAAATGTAGTTGAGAAGGCCGTACGGAAAAGTAGTTCGATCCGCTCTTCCGCCCGGCCGCAAATCCGGTTTGCATTTCATCGTCATCTCAAAGTGCGTGCAATCAATTTTTATTTTAATCGACGACTCTCATTCCTATATTTCGTATGGATTATATGATATTTTCATAGTCCTTTCTTATCACTTTTTAGATGACGGAAGTAAGGAACCGCGATAAGCGATGGACGACACATATTATTATCTATTATTTGTATATTATAGTATATGTATTAAACATAGACGCGCGCGAATGCAGTTGGACTTAGATATGCAAGGAAGATGCCATTCGTGTATAGCAGAGTCGTAATATTTCGTCCTCTTATCCACCATTCCTTGCTCCCTCCAAGTTCTCGATTTTTTATTTTCTTTTTATTTTCTTTCTTTAGCGAAGAGGCACAGATAATGTTTTGATCTCTTTTTCTTTGGTACTCAAAACGCTGTGCTGCCCATGTATTGATATACGATTTTTCGGACGTGTTAAGGAAAAAAAAATTACCTTGCGTAATACAAAGTGTCTTTCACGCATCGAAAATCGACAATTTGATGTATAACGGGAATTGAAGTTTTTTCTACGAACGCTGCGTAGTTTTTCTACGGCAGCTGAACATATTCCACGAGAAGACACGAGATATATTACATTTAAGTAGCTTACTATATTATTGATAACAATTATATATATATATACGTGATTTTATATATATATATATATGTATGTATGTATGTATGTATGTATGTATGTATGTATGTATGTATGTATGTATGTATGTATGTATGTATGTATGTATGTATGTATGTATGTATGTATGTATGTATGTATGTATGTATGTATATGTGTATGTATATGTATATATAATCACGTAAAGGAAAAATGGAAAAAAAGATTAGTGGATGATGCTGTTTATACTTAGGACGGCGCATATGTTTTCACCTGTGGTTACATATTATTATGGATTATTACGTGCGAGTAAATAATATAAATTAGAGAATGGAAGAAACATTTGGACAAGAGAGACCATAACGTTGCAAGCACCGTAGGTAGGCCCACTCAATACAGTAAGATTATTATAAGAAGAATATATTAATAATTATTATAATATGACTGCTCGTTTTATGCTCGGCGTACATACATTTCATTGTCATTATTATATCACCATTTATTAATGATATACATACGAACAAATAAAATGTGTTTATAAATATGAAGCGAACTTTACGTAATCTCTCGATGTTTACTGATTTGCAATTTGCTCTCTTCAAATCTTATTTAAAAGATATAATATGCATTTTTTATGAGATCATATATAATTAAGAGGGCAAGATAATTAATCAACAATTCCATAACTTAGGATCAGTAATTATTTATTATCTAAACTTCGAAGACATACGTAACAATGAAGTATTGGGAAGTAATATTTGAATCATTTATTCACAAGGAATTCGTTTCATGCGCGTCATTAATTTGAATTATCGCTACATATGTTTTATAAATTTCGGAATTTCTTTTTATTTCGTATTCTGAGGACGTTCTATCGGCACGGAGATATGTTTAATATTGCTATGACTCAATAATTCGATTGAAAGCCTCAGGATTGCAATCGGGATACATGGACGTACCATGTTTGTATTGCATCTAAAATTTCTTTGTAAGCATCCTACATATTACAATATAGGATTCCTACAATATATTAACGAAACGAATAGCGATTGTGATAGGTGAAATGTAAACTTGACTGTTTTTTTACGTTCGTTTGATTCTAGCGATAAATATTGCTTATTCGCTGTCGAGTTACGAAAATTGCAACACAATTGTTCCGTTTTTCCTCGATATGCGTTTTTGTTAATTTTTACTTTACTTTTAACGAATCGACAGTATCAATCGCCAACTATTACAGACCATCAATTTTCAAAGTTACTATTAATTTCAAAAATGGACTACATCGTCTTATTTATATTACATTAAAATTCTCATTTTAAATTCTCGTTTTTGCGATATTTAAGACACATACTTTTTTGTTAGTTGATAGCGAGCGCGGTAAACCGCCTGCCTAATTTATTTCCAAGAACTACTCTCTTGGAACAAAATATAATATTATTCATTTAAAGTAGCGATTGACTAATTGAATATAGTGACACTTTTTAAGAGTTTTTCTTTTTAAGCCTGGATATTATTTGGAATATACAAATTATATATTATTTCCAATCTCTCTTGTTTTATCTAATCTTCTTGTATCTAAAATAAGAGTTTAAATACGTACATAAATAAAGCCGCTAATCAAGTCATTGATTACCACCGACTTGTCGTACAGAAACGATGCTCGAATTGGTCATTAAGCTACTTTTACATTGGTACCCATATAACATCGCTATAAAAATAATTTTCTTTGTTCATCTCATCATTCGATTCTATACGAAAAGTCACCGATAACGTTTATGCCTATCGCCGGGAAGAGCTTTTAGTTACAAAAATAATAATACTTCATCTTTTATAAGCCTTTCCATTTTGAAAAGGGATTCCTTCTCGGTTCCCACATATTGAAATTGATGTGCATGACCAAGTATAGTGTAACTCCTCGAGATCGTGCTGATATCGTGTTTGATTGAGAATGTTGTTGGACTGGGATTTATGATTCGGCCGTCGAGTTTATATTTTTGTCAGTAGATAGACAGGATTCTCGATGCCGCAGAGAAAGATAAAGTAGCGCTCAGAGAGCTGTACTGGTTGAAGCTGTTGCTGTCGACTGCACGCCGGACTCAGAATTCGGACGTCCGGCGTGTGGTTACAGCTACGTGGACGCCGCGAGGCTGATAGACGTTGATTCGGTGACGGCCGATCTCGGCTTCACATCCAGGGAATCGTAGAGTGGAAATTCGCAGCAGAATATAAACTTGAGGAAATGTGGCACCTCAACGTAGATAGACGGCGGTATTGGTATCAACGGTGACGTCGATCGCTTATAGTAGCGATACTCCGCGTTACTGAAAACATTTGCAGAACATGAATAAATCGAAATTCATACGAATTTACAATAAAAAACAAATCCATTTATCTGTTAATATTATTTTCTTACGAATTGTAAAACAAAAATTTAAATAATTTTTTTAATCTGACTTTAAATTATTATATTCTTCTATTTACTCCAACTAAGAGTTGAGACTCCAGCTTTCTGTAATAAATAAATTAATTAAGTAAAGTAAAATAAATTAATTTAGGTGTACAACTTAATTCTTGGCCTTTTTACCCTAGAGAGTGCGATGAAAAACATCCCGTATATAGTCATCTCCAATTCAAATACAATCCATATTAATAGTATTTCGACTGGTCTTCGACACTTTGGCGTTTTAAAACGATTATACGATGGAAAAATATTTAAATTTGAACAGGTGCTATAGTCGACTAAATATAGGGGTCGAGAATTAAGCATTTACTTTTAATATATATAAGACACATTTTCTAAATTTTATATTTATGTTTTTGAATATTATTTTTTTTTTTTAGATTTGCGAAAATTCTCAATGCTCTTTTGCCCAATGCCTTTTTACTTACTCCCTGTATCTTTCATCCGATGCTTTTTCCAATAATGGCATCCCTGATAGAAATAGAATAATAAGCGTCGTGAAGATCGGGGATGCAATAACAACCCATTCTGCTCCTTCGATAACGTTTAGGGATATTACAAATATCCCCCACCAGACGACAATCTCGCCGAAATAATTTGGGTGCCGGGAGAGCCTCCAAAGTCCTAAAAATTTTGACTTGTAAATGCAAATTTATTTCATTGCAATCGAAAAATGATTTCAATGAAATAAATCCTTAAATAAAAAGTAATATGTATAACTCCTAATAATAATAATTATATACACATATTTATTTATGAGAATCAGATTGAAACGTTTTTATAACACATCTTATTGATGAGATCTTACAAACGATGCTCTGTAAAATTTTACTAGTAGTATAAAAAATTTAATGGAATTCCGCAAAAGTATTTTCGGACGTGTAACTCACTAAAAGTAATACCAATGTTATAATTTTACACTCAAGAATGTAACTATTATGTATCATGTATTATATTTACATTGTTGAATAAAATTATAACATTGATATTACTCTCTAAATTCTTTGAAGAATCTCATTCTGAAGAGTGAAAATTGACCTGTCTTGAAAAGGATCTATATTCAAGAGTGAAATTTCACTCTTTTAGAATGAGATCTAAAAGTTAAAGAGTATGTTGCTATTAATTAGTGTTTACTGGAAAATCAAAGGATAGTCTCACCGTCATTACACCACTTCCCATTGTTCACTGGATCTTGCTTGAAGGTGAACTTTTGCAGATCGGCGTAGGTCTCAGCTAGCAAGCCAACCAAGAAGAGACCCGTGCCGGCGCTGTCGAGCGTCGTCATCGTCTTTGGCGCGGGCGGTATTTTATGTCGTGGAGAATTGATTATTATCACAGGCAGACTGACGACGTACACCCACACAGCCTGCGAATCGACAAATCTCTTCGATATATCAGATCCTTTCTAGGAAGATTAAACGGGAGACATCGCACTCTCTATTTTACCTGAAATGTCCAGAATACGGCGAAGCGGATCACATTACTGCGACGATCGTCAAATCTCTTATCACGGCCTATTTTGACGATTCTATATAGGAGATATCCGGAGAGCCGCACGCCCCACAAGCATACGAATATGGTCACCATCATCTGCCGACTATCGTATGTCTACGGGGAAGAAAGGCACGTAGTTGTTTATACCGATACTTGTAACGACTAATAATATAAAATAAGCGTCATAGAAAGAAGTTTATAGACAGGCACAAATCATCCGTTAATAGATATTAATTATATCTTGACATTTTATTTATAGCAACGGTTTCATTGAGGATAAAATTGTCGATGATATACAGTGGCAATATGTCGCGTGAATCTCGAGGTGCATTCGAACTTTGAGAAAGAAAATCAATCTAAAATAATGATTTGCAAATCTGATTCGCAAGTGCAATCATTATCGAAGATTAATTACAGTTGCGATAAAAATTAAGTGATTTTAATATAAAACTTATAATCAAATAATAATAATAATTAGTAGCATTAATAGTCATTAAAAGGAATTGATAATAGACGAAAAAATAATTCTAATTTGTGATTTCTCTATCTAGTTTTCGAGTTTATTAAAACTTTTACAAATCTATCTTATCTAGGTTCTTTCCCGATAAACTTGTAATGTATTTTAATCTTTAGTACACACGATCATTTTCTAACCTACACTACATACAATTAAATCGTCCCGGATTAATTTTCATCTTTTTTACAAATACATAAAAATCAATAAATAATTCTTACGGTTTAATATCTTTAGAAAATACTTGTGCACTCTCTAAAACTTTTAGAGTGAATCTCTACAAAATTGTATGTAACGTATTCATTAGTTCTCATTCATAATATAATTGTAATAACGCAGGTATTGTATTGTTAAATAAGAAATTATAATTAACAAGTACGTTACATGCAACTTTGTATTTGCTGGTTGAAAAATGAAATCTCTCTCATTCTTAAAGACTGAAAATTGAACTCTTGCTACTTTTTTTCAAGATTGTCTCAATTTTTTTTAGCGAGATACCAAAGAATTTAGAGAGTAAGGGTTGTGAAC